TGAGTTATTCTTCAAAATAATGAAACGTAAAATTGAAAATACAAAACCGTGTAGCCATAGGCAAAACAAGGAAGTGAACAAAAAAAGCAAGTTTGCCCTAGGACGTGTTCTCCCAGGCATGGCTTACGAAGAGCTGCAACCTCACCGTCCGAAAGAAAAGATGAGCCCACTCCGCTGGGACTGCTCCATCCACCAGTTCTTCCTCTACACTTGAAGCTTCTCAGCCATCAAAGTGCTCCCGACGATCCGTCGTTTTGTCTTCCGCCGGAGGAGTCACCGACGAGATCTACTTCCAAACTTTCGTCGTCCATGTGTCCTTTCAATCATGGTTTATGAATCAGCTTTGAGGGGGGTGCTCGAATCTTTGGCTTCAGATTCGACCGAGACTCTCCTTCAACCGTCGGGGTTGAACTACTCGGTACGGGCATCTCTTCCAAAATCTCCAGAACCATCGGATCTGCCTATGACTCCGGATCCGCCAGATTTTCCTAGCCTATACACAAATTCTTCCCAACTGCTTTTGTGTGATCACCACCGTCGTCTCCTCATCCTCATCGTTATCTCGCCTTCATCATAGTCTACGGCTTCAACTACTGCTCCGTCGATGGAGAGATCTTGTGTCGCAGGTTACCCGCCGCCTTCTCCACGCGTTTTCATCCTGTGGCGCTGCCAAATCGATCTCACCGGAGAGGAAACAATGTTAGCGACTCTTGTGGGAGATGCACTTCAACAGAAGCTCCGACAATGGACTGAGCAGGCTCCGTCGAGAAAATCGATCGGCTTTCTCGCACACCGCCGCTGCCACCATTTGTCACGGAGGTTTCGTATCTCGTCGACTCCTCTCCACCACGAGAAGAAATCTGAAATTTGGGTTTGGCCCATTTCGAGATTTGGATTATTTTGGCCACTAGGCCCATCGATCAGTTATTTTGAGCCCAATTCAGTGTATGTTTTTTACTTGGTTAAGTGTTCATACTCTCCATCAATCTTAATTTTGGATGTGTATGACACCTTGCTAGGGTTGTTACTGGAACCATATTCTTCTTGCTAGGGCTGTTACCGGAACCATATTCATACTCTTCATCGATCTTACTTGCTTTTGAGCTTATTGATTTATCTTTTTGGAGAAATCCAAAGTTTTCTGGATTCTCAAATCCTGTAATTTACTCCAACCTAAGACTCTCTGGTTTCACCGCAAAGACCCTCTTGACGCATCCGAGACATGTTTTGGATTCACTATCTATCTTTTGCGATAATCTATCTATTTTGTGTTTTATTGCTTTTTAATTATGTTGTAGTAACTTTAAAAGATGCTTAATATTCTTTTCTTTGATCGGTTAAATGAATAAAGTAAGTTTGTTG